CCTTTTGTGCTTCTGCAAATATCAATCTTCTGTCTTTATTACTTTCTCTTCCTTGTCCTCTGTTGCACTAGGCTGTCTCTGTCCAACAGTACAACTTTTAGCATCTTATTCTTGATACATGGAGTGACCTCACTGCCTCTTGATGAGATGTTACATTAGTAACAGTCTTCAATCATTTTCACATAAAAGAAAATTCTGTAAGTTTTAGCTCTGTATATGTATTTGCCAAGAAACTGGTTTATTTTTATTCCAAAGTATGTGCATGTGTTTTTTTTTTTTTTTACTTAAAGCACAAGTTTTTATCAGAGGAAACAATTAGTTTGTTTAGTTCTATAAACTATTCTAGAAATCACAGTGCACCCCTGTTTTTCTGTTGTTGACATATTCTTCCAGGTCAAGGAGCACATTTCCCTATCTCAGGTAACCTCAGCTGATACCTGAGCACAACTTCTCTCTTCCGGATCACATCTCTTTCAACCCAGCTCTTCCTATGTTAAAGATTCTTCTAACCACATTCCCCACTTTATCTGTTCCTCATACGTTGTCCAAGTAGAACCTCCTTAGACAGTAAACAAAAAGTCCTTCATCATTTTCTGGTTTTCTTGGACATTATCTGTTTCCACAAACAATAGAAACTTAGTTTTTTCCTAAGGGTATCAAAATCCTTATATTTCTCCAAGGGAATTCACTTTCCTGTTTCCATACTCCCAGCACATGAAGCAGTGTCCATGGATATTATCAAACATTGTTGAGTTGCCCTTTTGAAATTCCCAGTATAGACTAAGATTGAAACATTTGTGATGTCCCATTTACTTCCAGAATATTCATCCTTTTATGTCAATGTTTTCAGTCCCAGACTGAAATGGTTTAGTCTCTCTACTCTAATCCCTGCCATCCTGCAGCACCTCTAAGAGTAAAAATAAAATTTAAACAGAACAAAACCAATATCATTTCCCATATTTGATGGCCACCATTTTTGGTGGCATAGTCCAATAAGGTTTTCACTGGCCTTATCAGGCCTTCCACTCTCCTTCCCTTTTTGAGCTTCCCTTCACCTTATTAGCTCTGGGTAGCCTGACTCTGATTCTTGAAAGCTTTCACATGAACTGCCCTATTTTAATCTTTGATCTCAGTATACAGTAAGTGAGCATGCAGACTTGAGGCTGAGGAGAGGCCACTCTAGGACTGGGTCCTTAAGGAAAGAGGAAGACCGATGCTATTGCTTTTCAGAGAATTATACTCTTGTCCAGTGGTTTGGCTCTTTCAAGATGATGGCATTATTAGAACTTCCTCCCAGGCTCCTCACCATCCGATCCTACCACACTGAACTGCCAGATTTGACTAGTACAAACCACCACACTCAACATGGGAACTTAAGTTTCTACCAACCTCTCATGTCCACAGAAAGAAATGACCCATGGTGGCCAGTGATTCTGTGGAAGGAGTAACTTTGGGTTGATGACATTCATGACTAGAATCCCAATGCCTCTTTATTCGTCTTTTTTTTCTCTTTGGATTTCTTACTCACATATTTTCTACAATACTGACTTTTCTGTTCTTCAAGGACCATTTCTACATATGCTGCCTGTATCTCAAGTTAGTATGCTCACCCACCAGTGTGCTGCTATCAGAGACATGTGGGGTAAGCATCCTCACTTCTCTTGTAATATCTGTGTCTTCTCTTTTCACTCCTGGCTCTGAAAAAGAAATGCACCTCCTCTGGGCTAAAGAAGAATCCAGATTTCAAGGTAGAAAGAGCAGATGGAGAAATGAACAGAAGGGGTAAAAATGTAGAAAAGTAGAAAAATCAGAAATGGAGGCAAGTATAGATGACTCTCCTGAAATGTGTAGTCAAAGGGAAGAAAAATCTGATAGTATAAAAGAGCATAATTGAAGGAAGGATTTCTACAATAGAGAAAACTTGAGTTAATTTGTAAGTTGATGAACTACCCCCGATAAAAAGGAAACAACTCATACAGCATGTCCCAGAGCAAAGAGCAGAAGGTCCTTCATCTCATATTCTCCCAATATCTTTCCATGTATCTCTCCCTACTCTTTTTTATATGCAGAAGGTCCTTCATCTCATATTCTCCCAATATCTTTCCATGTATCTCTCCCTACTCTTTTATATATATATATATATATTTTTTTTTGTCTTTTGTCTTTTTTCCGTGTCCGGCATCAGATCGCAACCCTCAGTGTCGCCCTCGCACCGGACCGGGGACCGGCAACGGGATTGCAACCC